GCCTCGCATGCAGGAAGCCCTGGGTTTGATTACTCAGTATCACATAGAAAAAAGCTGTAAGTGGCCCTGTGGCTCAAGTGGTAGGGTGCTAGCTTGAGCTGAAGAATTGAGGGACAGCGCCCAGACCCAGAGTTCAGGCCCCATGACCAACAATAAATAAATAAATAAATAATAGAATTGTCATTATAATTAGAGTTCCTAAAAACATAACTTTAATGAACAAAAAACTCTTATCAATAGAAGGCCAACATTTGGCTTGCACATACACAGAGTATGACTAAATTTTTAATCCCACTCACTTAAGCGAACAGAAGGAACAAGGATTTTTTCTTTTTCTTTTTTTTTTTTTTTTACTGGCGGCTTCATTAAAAATGCTCATGAATCACAGAACAACATGTCCAAGGCTAATGATGTTGAGTGCAAAGTCTTCTGGCAGTGGGGGATGGTAAGAAGGTTGTCTCCTTTCTGTCTCTGGAAGAGTACCAACTTCATAACATCAATATAGTTAATAACACTCTGACCTTTAAAAAGCATTTTATAAGAAAATTAGGGCAACTACTACAGAAGAATTTACATTAAAAGAAAACCCAATCATTTTATAACTGTGGGGAAAGTGGCCAATTCCTTGCATCAAATATATGTTAACAAGCAGTATTCATAGAGGGTCTGCTCAATTGCAGCTGACACATCAAAAACAGAAAGAAGCCACGATGTAATGTAAACAATATTGAAATGTATACCATATTGGAGACTTCACCTTAAGCATGTCCTGTTCAGTGTTAGCTGCTATGCTAATTATACTGAACAGTAAAGAATCCTCTACTCATTGGGTTGGGAGAGTGGGAAAGTGCTAGAGAGTGTGGTGAGTTCAATCTCATTTCACTTGTGAGTAAAATCAATCCAAGCACTGTTCCTCTATTTTCCCTTTCTTCCCTTTCTACTCATACATGAGTTTTCACAGTTTCTTTACAATAAGCTAGATACAGTGTGAGGTGATTTACACATAATATTCATTTTTTATGTCCATCCAGGGGCTTGATCTCAGGGACTAAGTGCTGTTCCTCAGCTGTTTTGCTCAAGGCCAGTGCTCTACCACTTGAACCACACGTCCACTTCCAGCAGTTTGGTGATTAATTGGAGATAAGAATCTCATGGTCTTTCCTGTCCATAGAGGCTTTCAACCAATATCCTCAGATCTCAGTCATAAGCCACTGACACACAACTATTCATTTAGCTTTCACGCCAACTCAGTAAGATAGATATTATTCTTATTTTATAAAAGTCAAAATGGCTCAGAAAAGTTTTAGGAGACTTGTAGTAAGTCATACAGCTGGTAGGTGGCTGGTAGGTTGCAGAGTCAGGAAACCTAGACCTGCCTGCCTGATTACTGATACCCCATTATTTTTTCTACAAGTGCATGCCACCCTCCATTTTACCACACTATCTTCTTTGCACTTTTTTCTCCCTTCCCTTCCCTTCCCTTCCCTTCCCTTTCCTTCCCTCCCCTTCCCTCCCCTTCCCTCCCCTCCCCTCCCCTCCCCTCCCCTCCCCTTCCCTCCCCTCCCCTCCCCTCCCCGCCCCTTCCCTCCCCTCCCCTCCCCTTCCCTTCCTTTCCTTTTCTTTCTTCTAATAGGCCTACCCAAAAATCTAAAAATAGTGCCTAAGTGACAGGTAGTATTTGAAGGATTTTAAAGGAAACAGAATGAAACTGGGTGTTGGTGACTCACACTTGTAATCCTAGCTACTCAGTAGAGTGAGATCCAAGGATTGCTGTTTGAAGTCAGCCTGGGTAGGAAAAGTCCATGGGACTCTTATTGCCAATAAACTACTCAGAAAAGGCTGCACGTGGAGCTGTGGTTCAACTGGTAGAGTGCTATACTTGAGCAAAAGTATCACAGAGACAGTGCCCAGGCGCTGAGTTCAAGACTCAGGACTGCCACACACACACACACACAAAGAAAGCAGAGTAAGCCTGGCGCCCAGTGGCTCACGCCTGTAATCCTAGTTACACAGGAGGAGGATTGCGATTGAGATCTGAAAAGCCAGCGGGGGGGAAAGAAAATCCGAGAGATCATCTCCAATAAACCCCTAGTAAACCTGAAGAGGCGCTGTGGCTCAAGCAGTAGAGTGCTCGCCTTGAGCTGAAGAGCACAGGAACAGCACCCAGATACAGAGTTCAAGCCCCACGACCGACAAAATAAATAAATAAATAAATAAACCAGAGTGAATCCTGCACTCCTTGATACCTCTCCTTTGAAAGCTCTAGCTTATTTTGTATTTCCCCACAAATCCCCCACATATGGCCTGGTAAGCAAGATCCAAGAAAATGCAGGCTATCTTCAGGTTCATGTTACATCTTTTTCTCTCCAATCTCACCATAGTTTTAATGACTACATTTTTTAACTCCCAAATAAGGGCATCTAGACTGAGACATTGTTTTCTTTAAGATAACATGAAAACAGCATATTTGAACTCAAAGGTTTAAAAGTATTTCTGTTGTCTAGGAGAGATAGTCTCAGAATAGGATTGGCTCAATATGGACTTGTTGATTAATTGGAAGCTGATCACAGAAGGAAAATAATGAGGAAATTCAGAGTAAAATTTTATCAGTGGAATTCAACAGGGTGGTCTTTCTGGCAGGTCTTTTTGTCATGGTCATAATGTAGGCTTCCTGAACCTTGTGGTTTGTTAATCTGCAAGTACTTGCTTAGATATAATGGATTCTAAGACAAGCTGTTAATTATGAGTTTTAATCTAAGGCTAGAAGATGCCTATAAAGATTAAAACTTGTTTCCTTTTTTCTAACAATTAGCAGCCTGGCTAAAGAGTGATCAATTATAATTGGAAAACAGAAGAAAGTAATAAATGCCTTATGGAGACCAGTTGTTTTACAAAGCCATTTTATTTAATCCTTAAATTCTGCATGTTATAAATTACTCATTAGATGGCAGAAAGCAAAATAGCCATAATCCATTTAGTGCCTCCAAACTCCAAAGACTTAGAGGAGGAAATCCATGGAAACAACAGGCCTGATGTGTTCTTCCAGTCCTGTTTTTTTAATGGGCAAAGGTAGAAAAAGCCCATGTAATTATCCTGATGCGCTGGTCCATAGGTCAGGGGGGTCATGGAGAGCTGACCCACAAATGGTGGGAAAAGGCCCTTCTTTTCCACTCAACCCTGCAGGCAGCTAATCAATGTGCGCATCTCACTTCCAGATTGTTTCATGAGACCAGAGCAATAGCCCATAACATTCATTAGGGCACTCACTCATATCTCTTGTTTTCTAATCAGTTCAAGGATGAGAGGACAAGTACCAAAGAGAAACTGGAAGTGGGTTGGGAGAAGACTGCTCCTGTGCATACATAAGGAATGAAGCTCTCAGTAGCAAAATGGTCAAGTGAAAAAAACTAGACAATTAGCTCATAGGTTGCTTTGCATGTAAAGAAAGCTACAAATATTTGGTTTCAATATGGATTTTGCAAGCTTAAAGAAAACATGCTTTACTACTTAATAAGGACAATGATTTTTGTATGCCAAGGATAAAATTCAATTTTAGACTTAGTGGTAATGTTGTACATAATATGCCTTTATCAGAGGTGTGGTGCATCATTTATGGGGGTAGAATTTGAATTTGTGCATATTTCTTTTTTTAATTTTAACTTTTATTGTGAAAATACTGTACAGAGGGGTTACAATTACATGGGTAAGATAATGAGTACATTTCTTATCAAGCATTGTAGCCTCCTCCTTTGTTTCCCCTTCCCATCCCTTCCCATCCTCCCCCCACCCTCCTTCAATATCATATCCTTTATGTGTATGAAGTAAATTTGTGGCTCAGATTAGGCTATATACAAGAAAATGGCTTTGGCTTGTGTTCTGAGTAAGCACTTCTTTTTCTTATTTTTATTCTTGCTTGCTATTTTCCCCTTATGATCAACAGCACATCTCTGAATGAGGATGGTGGAGTTAAGCTACAAAATTGAGTTTTTGCTTTGGAGACATAATTGGACCATATGAGGTTGAAATGTTTAATTTTACAGTAGCAAGCTGAGTTATCCAACCCAAACTGTTTCCATTCATTTTCTTCTTGACAGTCTTCTAATTAAGTTTGTGATTTCACCAGGCTGGTACTATCTCTGTATTACATTCAATATTTCACCAAGCCGTTGTTGCTCAATAAATCATTACTGATAATGAAGGAAAATCCAATTTTTAAAAAATATAGCTGCTCTAGAAATGCATTTATTTACTTTGTCAAAGTAATTACAAAGCAAGTGTTTCCTAGATAGATCATTTAAGCATGACGTGATAAAAACAACCCCTTATTCCCCACATCTTCTTTTTCTAAATTTCTTCTGTTGTTTTGTAATAGTAGAAAGCTATATACTAAATACTTTAAAGAGCTCATGTCATTAGAAATATTGAGACCAAGAAATTTTAGAAACCTGTTGAGATGTCTTAAGAAAAATCTTAAAACTCCTATTAATGTTATTTATTTGATTTTTGGCAATACTGGGGTTTTGAACTCAGAGCCTTTGCTTGCTTAGAAGAGTACACTACAACTTGAACCATACTCCTTGCTTTATTCTTTTGAATACAATGCTGGTTTTTTCCAACTTGATGTCTTTGGATTGTGATGTTCCTAATTATACCTTCCACATAGCTAGGCATCATTGATTTTATGGTCACCAAAGAAAAGAAAGAAGCAAGAAAAGAAAGGAGGAAAGGAGGATGGGAAGATGGGAAAGGGAAAGAGGGAGAAAAAGTGTTTCTCTTTTTGGCAATACTGCGATTTGAACTCAGAACTCCATACTTGCGAGGTAGATGCTCTACCACTTGGGCCACATTCTCAAACCTGATAACTTTTAAACTATAACTTGGTGCTCCTGTTACTTGTCCCAGGGAAAAGCCTGTTCTTGACACTTTTGATAGAATCAAGAGTGATACTTGGTCTTTCCTGTTTTCTTGGGATGAAGTACCTGGGTTTTCTTTTGACTTACCCTGAGTGGATTTTCATTAAGGTAAGGGGGTTCACCTTCCACCATTTCAATTGCCATAATTCCCAGAGACCAGATATCAACTTTTGGACCATAAGCTTTTCGAGTTACCACCTCTGGTGCCATCCAATAGGGTGTTCCCACCATAGTGCTTCGTTTACTTTGCTCAGGAGTGATCTGGGCACAGAACCCAAAGTCAGCTGTAGAGAAGAAACGTCAATTAAAATAAACCCAAATCATTGTCTTTTGATAATAGGTTACTTTCAGATAAGACTGAAGCTTCCTTGATTAGACCCTGGAATTCCATAACTGCCCAGCTAATAATTTTTGTTACCCAATCTCTTGGCAGCTCCTAATTTTACTGTATTTGATCTTGGCAAAGGGCCCAGAAGTAATTTGCTGGTCCTGATTTTAATGTCTTTTGAAATAATTGACTAAAGCCTTTTCTCTAGACTTCAGTCATAGTTCCCTCCCCAATACTGTTTCTTAAAGCTTATAGAATCTTTCATATTTCTAGAAGCCATTAGAAATTCTGAAATATTAAAAAAATCTAATCACAATCTACAGGAAAAAGTGTTAGACAAATTCTTTGGATTATAACTGCTTTCAAGGAAATCCCTTTCAGTGGTCATTATTGTATTAAGATAGTAGAAAAGCAGAAATTCCCTATTTTCTCAAACATTATCTGAATCAAAATACCTACTCAATTTAACAGAACCGTCCATCCCGAGAAGAATATTGTCACTCTTTATGTCTCTATGGATTACTTGGTTTGAGTGCAAGAAATCCAAAGCTTGGAGGCACTATTGAATGAGAAGAAAGTTCTAATTATATCATATTTTTTAAGATTCTAAGTTCCATTTCTAGACATTTTTGAGCAAGGGTGTCACTCTATGTCAACTGAAATAGATTAGTTAATGTTCTAATACCACTTAAAATTAATATATACTCCATTGATGGCTCCCATGTCAGACTAAGCTGTGAAGAATGAGGATGAGATACATAGTATAGTTATTCATACAGTGATACTAACAAATAAATATAATCATATTTTGGCCTCATCTGCAGGATGAAGATTGTTTCAGATAAATATTGGAAGAAGCAGTTTACATGAAGTATTATATGATTCATTAGTTTTGTAATGTGACATAAGAATGTGCTTCTGAAATAAGTTCCCTAAACTGATTCTGATGAACAGCCTGATTTAGGAATGGCTCCTGTGCTATGAAGAAACTACAGGTACTCATTTGGATATGCCTTTTTATTGCAAATGCTAAAATATAAAAGCCGATACAAAATATGAAAATACAAAATTATATAAAATATAAAATATAAAAACATACACAAGGTACAATATTCTCTTGACTGACTAGAGAAACCAGAGTTTTTCCATGTGTGCATGTTTCAGGTATGGAAAATAAGAGAGGCAAACAAGAAAGGAGGAAATTTACAGGAACTACTTAAAATAATATATGGAAATGAAATGTGTTTGTTTCCATATCACTGGTGAAGTTTCAATGAGTCTGTTTTTGCTTTTGTTTGTAGAAAAGCTTATCTAAACAAATGAGGAAGATGATGACATTCGGCATGAGACTCTAATGTAGAATATTTTATTTTGAAACTATTGAAGAAAACAAAAAAATAAAATATCTGTAATTTAGCTTGGAACTAAGGGCACTACCTGATATCTGACTGTTTTCCTCTGTGAAATAGACCTTCTAGCACAGGGAAGGACTGAGGAATGTTCAGATTGAACTATGGAAACAATTGTTTTCTATGTGGAGGTAGGTCCTTAAGTTGCCTTCTAGAAAATAATTGGAATATAATGTGATCTGTATTTTACAAAGTTACTATTGTGTAAAATCTTCCCTAAATGAGAAAAAAGGTCCACATGAACATCATCATTTTTCATGTTTATTGACATTACAGTATGAGACCATAGGTATAATCCATCCTGAATGGTATAATGGAGCTCCAAAGATCCCCAGAAAAGTAACTAAAATAAATGACTTGGAGGTGAGTAGGTGGAATTGCTTTTAAGTTATGTTGTAAGTTGAAATTAGTCTTTGCACTTCTTTTTCTGTTTTTAGTAGAAAAGTTATACTGTTGTTATCTTGAGGTTGTACACATTGTAAACAAGCAGAAAGAGAACACTAACCAAATGGCTCACGTTGTCCTCATCAATAAGAAATATTCTATTGTCTTACCTCTCTGCAGACTGCTGCTATCTGTCCTTCATCCATACAAGTCTCTGTGACCACATCAGTTAAAGAGCCACCAGCCAAGTATTCCATGACTACCCACAGTTCATCGCCTACTAAGTAGCTGTAATAAAAAAGAAAAAAGATTTTGACTTGGAACTAAAAAAGTGGTGAATATTCTTTAGGTCTCCATTCTCATAGAAGTCTCATAGAAAAGGATGATAAGAATGATCCCTATTATCTTTTTTTGCTGTTCCTGGGGCTTGAACTCAAGGCCTAGGTACTGTCCCTGAGTTTTTTTGTGCTCACAGCAAGAGCTCTACCCTTAAGCCATAGTGCCACTTCCAGCATATTCTGAATAGTTTATTGGAGATAAGTTTCATGGATTTTCCTGCCCAAGCTGGCTTCAAACTGCAATCCTCAGATCTCAGCCTCATGAGTAGCTAGGATTAAAGGTGTAAGCACACAGCTATGCCTATTATCTTTAAGAAATATACTCCAAGCAATGTAGTATGGAGTCCAAAGATAAGAGCCCTACCATTCAGGGAAAGAGCATGAGAGTTTTCAAATCACCTGGGATCATCTGATGACACATCAGCAGTACTATTAGATCTCTCTGGCTCCCTAATAAACAATAGAAAAGAATTATAGGGAACAGCATAATCTCCAAAGAGTCCAATCTGCTTTCATTCATATCACTATGAAGCAAGACTTTCTATCCACTCCAGAACATATTGCCCCTAAGATCCCTCTGAGAAGCATGTTAAAAAAGAAAATTTGCTAACTCTACTTCATTAATCATGGAAAGCAGCCTAAAAATCTGCATTTCTGTAGAAATGTAAATTTTACCAATTAAATATGTGAAATGACTCCAAGTCACTCTGCTGCAGATGAACTTTAAAGGACAGGGTTGGAAACACTTATTTGTTTGTCATATGCAGGGGCGATTCTCCTTCAAAGAACTAATTTATGGATTAACAAAATTAATGTCAAGAAGCTGGAACATAAACATGTGTTGGGAAGGGGAAGGTCAAGGTGAGGGGGTAGACAGGAGACAGGAAGGGGAAGTCTTAATATTCGATGTACATATGTGACAATGGAACCAAGTAATTTATAGAGGTGGTGGGGTTGGAAGAGATGGGGGAGAATGAATGAAGGGGCCACATCAACCAAGATGCCTTGTGCCTAACATATTGAATTGAACCCCTTTGAACAAATACTTAGATGCAAGCCTCCCCTTCCAGAAACTTCTCCCTCTTTCCCCTTTACAAGGCCCATCTCCACAGGAGCCAGGATGATGCTTTGTGACGTGTAAACCCCGCCCTGGTCAGTGATTGGCTGGCTGGGGGTGAATTGCTGACCTAACAATGACTAAGGGCGTGGCCACCCTGTCATGATGGGTATATATATGAGTGTCCTGTGGCCCAGGAGGTCAGACCGCTGCAGCCTACAAAAAAGGAAGGATGGTGGTGATAACACGGAGCATGGCTGCTGCTGCAGCAGCAGCTGATGCCCAGGAGGGAACTTCATTCCAGCGGGGAAGATCCAGCAAACGCGTGAGAAACAAAAGGAAGACCGTTTCTCGACGTCGTCGACGGTGTAAAAGAAAGGTGAGGTGACACATCCCAGGTCCTCCCTTCCCCTTCACTCCTTTCCCAAGTTCTACCCTGGCCTTCTCCAACACAAAATGTTCCCAGCCCTTATCCCTTCTATGGATTCCCTGTCCCCATCTCCCACTCTCTCCTCTCCAGGCCATGCCTAACAACTTCCCGTTCTCCTTCCAGGCCCGAGCAACAACTGCAGTGGTGGGTCGTCTCAGGCGCCGTGGCAGGTCTGGGCAGTGGAGAGTTATTGTCACCAGCAGACCTGCTTCACCTATACCGGAGGAGGAGCCAGGACCATCACCAATTTGTGGTCGTGTTACTAAGAAACGCCTCCCCAATAAGCGCCTGCACCAACGTGAGCCCCCAAAAGACCAAGTTAAGAGAGGTCCGTCATCTTTAGTGACCATCTCAGTAGCAACTAAGATGAAAGCCAAGCCAGGGCTATCCTGCCGGTCCTTCTGAGAGGTCACTAGGACCCTCGCCGCTGGCGAGTGGTCGATCCCTTTCCTTGTTCTCGTGAATCCAACGAGACAAAGGATGATGAAAATAAAATCACGATGGTGATGAGATATGAATTTCTGTGTGCTCTGTGCTGTTGGGGAGAGAGATAGAAGGAAAGTGGGGAAGAGGGTGAGTGGGAAGGGAGGGAGGTAAGTCCTCTGGGGGTGGTTGTCCAACCTACACTTGCACAGTGAACTAGACAGACATGGAGGAATAGGACCTGTGGGAGGGGAGAGAAGACAACTTTCTCCTTTTGCACTTGAAAGGATGCTCCATATATGTGTGAATGTGTGTGTGTGTGTGTGTGTGCGTGCGTGCATGTAGGGAGTACGATCTAGGTGAGCAGAGCTGTTAGAGGTGTGTTGGTAGCATCCTTCCCCAAATGGGAAAATCTGATTAAAATACTGTATTTAGGTATGAAATACAATGGTGAAACACCTTTAAAGTGGTACCATCCATAAAGATAAAGCATGTCCTGTCTGGGATGTGAGCACTAGTGCAACTGGGTAAGATGAACAGAGGAGGTAAAGGATGATGAATGTGACCTGAATACATTATGTATATATGTAAAATTGAATAGTGAAATCTAGTGAGATTGGTTTGGGTAGGCATGAAGGGAGGAGGGTGGAGAGAGAGTAACAGAGGGGTAATCTTAAGGCACACTGGCTGCATATATGTCACAATGAGCAGCGAATCTTCTGTGTATGATGGTGGAATGTGGGTGGTGAGTATGTGAGGGGAGATGCAGTGTGTGTGGTGGTATCCCTCCATGAAACATTTCACAGAGTAATTTTTCCAAGGACTATTTATTGCATCTAACCTGGTGAGGTAAGCAACTAAAGTCTCTAAGAAGGACCCAGAATATTTTGAAGGAGAGGAGCAGGTCAAGGAGGATAGATAAATGGAGATGAAAGATGGGCAAATAAAGTCATAATATTCAACCATGTAACTTGAAGGTATAGATGAGGTTGGGAAAGATGGGAGAGAATTATGGATAGGCAACACTGATCAAGATGCATTGTAGTCATAGACTGACATTTTGAATAAAAACTCCTTTGGATAATTAAAGGTAATAAAACATGAATAAATTTTAAATTAAATATTCTAAAATCCAACTATCACTTTTTCTTTCTCTATGACAGCCCTAGATGCTTAAAACACAGACAGCAAGATTTTAAGCTCAAAGAGGTGGAAGATTCAGCTTTATTTCCTTTGTATCCCCACAGAGAACACAACACTGTGCTGCTAAACAAACACTAAAGCTGAATAAGAAGGATGTTAACCTCAAGAGAAGAGTTAGCATTGTCTTTAAATGCCTATTTATAACACTGTTAATAACATTGATAAAAGAGACATTAATTACCTGCTTTATGAGAAAGGCTTAAGATCAAAGTCTCAATTCCCTAGACCTCACTGTCAGTTAATCACAAAGCACCCATTAAAGCAAGACCATTGTACTCAGCCTTCTTCACTTAGCTCCCAGCGACCATACAGACTCCAAACACACTTGATGGGATGCTTAAAACACTACTGCTTTCTCTTCCAAGCAACAGTCCATTTCCTGCCAACACTGCAGCACAGTCCTCCAAAGGAAATCACAATAACTCTTTATGTTTAGAAGCAGGCCCATAAAATGTTTTTTCACATGTTTGATGGATGGATATAGATATTTTGGGTGAAGTTACTTGGTAGCATTTGAGTAATATTTGTAGAATGATTATTAGATGAATACATCTCCAAGAAAATATTTGGCCAAGAAAATGTCTTCCCATAAAGAAAACAAGTACATAATAAAACACTTACCTGTCTAAATAGTTAACAATGTTAGGGTTCTTATTTTCCCTCATGACCAGAATTTCATTAATAATTAATTCCTTTTTGGGTTGCTGCTGAAGGTTCATCTGTTTTATAGCCACCTGAATGATAATTAAAAATGACATAATTATTACAATAACCACAAATAAATTTTGGAGACAAAAAGGAGACATATATAAACTCTTTACTTAGTAAGGTCTTTCTCTGTACTCCAATGCCCTTTTCCTTGGGTAAATCATCACTTCAGTTGCGTTGGATAAAAATAACAAAACTCTCATCTCAACTCATTGTTATCCACTTTTAAAAGACATGGATACTAGCTGGGCACTCATAGCTCATGCCTATAATCCTAGCTACTCAGGAGGCCGAGATGTGAAGATCACAATTTGAAGGCAGCCCAGGTATGAATGGCTTTAAGATTCATTATCTTCAGTTATTCACCAAAAAGCCAGAAGCACAGCTTTGGCTCAACTGGTAGAATACTAGCTGTGAGTAAAAAAGCTCTGAGATAGTACCCAGATCCTGAGTTCAAGCCCAGTACCAGCACACAAAGAAACAAAATAAAACAAAAGACATGGATATCATAAAAGGAAAAGCCAACAGATATAAAATAAAGGGAAAGAGTAAGGCTTGAATGGTAGTATTTACCTCTTGTCCTGTTGCAATATCTAGTGCTGTGTACACAGTACCTGATGCCCTGCAAAGTTGAAAATAGGCCAATGAGTATGCAATCAATATGTTTCCTTTGCAAGAAATGCAGTTATTTTCAGGATAGGAATAGTTAGCAAAGTCAACATTAAAGGATGAAATAAAACAGGATGAATGTTGAATAAAAAACAATACCGTGGTAAAAACATGCAGTATCTACTTTCTTGACAAATTTCCAAGTGCACAATACAGGAATATTTATTAGATTAATTGTTCCTGAACTAATCATGGCTCACCTCTTGCAGTGGCCTAGGAACTCCAGTCAGACCTTCTGGTATCAATTCCTGCAACTGTACTAAGTAAAATGGCCTTTCTGTTTTTAAGAAACACTTAGAATATTCTAAATTTTCCTTGGATCTTGCAACAACTAACATCACAGGTCTCTGATTAAACTGAAGAGTAGTTGAGTAAAGGATATGTCCTCTTACATAGGTGACCATAAACCAGCCTTCACATTTAGTATTTGGACACAGTGGATATTTTTCATTTATTTCTAATTCTTAAGAATATCTTAACAAAACAATCAGTGCAATGTCAGTACTCTAAGCTACACACAGTAAAAATAATGTGGTTTAACTACGGAACTACTGAGTTTTTGTTTTTTGCTAAATGTCTGGAATTTCATGAGATGTCACTCTAACCAAATAGCCTTTGAAAATCTATCATTCCTTAAGTCCTAATAGCACTTACACTTCCATTCTAACTTCAATCACATATACTTGAATTGAAAATAGAAATTGTAGAATGTAGCTGAATTTGCATTAGCTTTCAGTAACTCAAACCTCTATTCTTTCCTGCAATTCTCACTTTCAAGGAAAATAAAATAAAATTTTATCCGTGGTTGATAAATAAATTAAGATAGAAATCAGCCTTGTATTTACTAGGTTTTGTAATTCTTCAAACGTGTACACTTTCTTGCAATTCCTTCCCCATTAGTATCTACATATTTCTTGATGTCTTGTTTTCTGGGTTTAGAATTTTTATATCAGCCACTTCCTTGTTATTCTTGTCCTTAGTTGAGCCAAAATATTTCTCACAGGCTTAGGAAGTTCATATTGCCTACTCCCAGGAAATAAAATGGATAATGCAGATAAAGAATATTTGGCCTACCCCCAACAAGTTGTATAACCTTAGACTAGTCATTTCCCCTTACCAAAGTTCAGTCCCTCTTGGGGAAAATTGTGAACACACTGTACCACTGACTAAGAATTTTATATAATTTTATATGTTTTGTAATCATTAAAATATTTCTTTAAATTTTAATATTATTACCTTTAGGTGGTTGTACAAAGGAGCTACCATTTAATAAAGAGTATATATGAATATGATATATCTTGATCAATGTCACCTAGTCCTTTCAATGTTTTTCACATCCTCCCCCCAACCCCTTCCCTCACTCTTCTTAATTTTGTAGGACATACACTGGATTCTTCTCTAGATTTTCCCCTTGTTCTCCTCTTCATTTGTCTATATATTGTAAGTTTAACATCCTTATGTTATAAATTAGAAACTTGGACTCAAAGTGGTTTAATAACCTGTGCAAGTTATACAGCTTATAACTCAAATCCATCTTTCTTTCTTCTCTGTAAAGTATAGGAAATGGGCTACTCTATTTCTAAAGTTCTTGAAGTCTATGATCTGCAACCAAAAACTCTACTGCTTTGTATATCTTTGCTCACATTTTAAAATATCTAAACTGAAAAAACATACTTCACATCTAAGTTGTCACCTGAATCATAATTTGGTAATTTACAAAATTTCCTAGACTTGAGGCTTTTTATCAAATAAAACATACTCTTTTTTCCCCTTTTTTTATTGTGAAAATACCGTACAGAGGGGTTACAATTACATGGGCAAGGTAATGAGTACATTTCTTATCAAGCATTGTTGCCTCCTCCTTTGTTTCCCCTTCCCATCCCTTCCCATCTCTCCCCCTCCCCCCGCCCCCCGCCAAAGTTGTAAAGTTTGTTTTTCGGCATAACGATTTGCACATCTCATTGTTGCAATTGGTCCATCTGTATCCCTATTTAAACGATTTGTTTTTTCCCTTCCCTTCCACAAATTATACCAACAACAAATACAGTGAAAGCAGGGGTTATACCATGAGGGAGGGACATTACAAAGCAATAAAGAAATCATCTTTCAAATACTTGGGGTTTTGTCCTCCACTCCCTTTGTCTTAAAATTGCTAAAGTCCTAATCATGGGATCCCAACACCTTACTTTTTTTTTTTTCTTTTTTTGGTTGGTCCTGGGGATTGAACTCTGGGCATTGGTGCTGTCCCTCAGCTCTTCAGCTCAAGGCTAACGTTCTACCACTTGAGCCACAGTGCCACTTCCAGTTTTCTGGTGTTTTTTATTGGAGATAAGAGTCTCACGGACTTTCCTGGCCAGGCTGGCTTTGAACCGCGATCCTCAGATCTCAGCCTCCAGAGTAGCTAGGATTATAGGCATCAACCACCAGCGACCGGCTTAATACCTTAAGTTTTACAACACAAATTCGTAATTTACAGAAGTTTAAAGACCCTGAAATTTTAGGGTATAATATTGGGTATAAGTTACAAATAGTTTTTCTTTTTTCTTTCGTTCAGTTTTCCTTTTTTTTTTATTTTTAAGAATTACCATTAAGTAGTTGTACAAAGGAGTTGCCATTTAACAAAACATATATATGAATATCATATATCTTTGTCAACATTCTCACCCATCCTTCCCCTACCAAAAATTCTTCTTCTCAATTTTGTAGAACCACTCTGGAAAGCAATGTGGAGGTTTACCAAAAAATTAAACATGGAACTACTCTGCGATCTGTCAATTTCTGGACAGGTATTTAACCCAAAGATTATAAACCAGGATTCGGTAAAACCATCAGCATGACCCTGTTCATTGCAGCACTATTCACAATAGCCAAAGTATGGAATTGGCTACATCCATTAACAGAGGAATGGATCAAGAAAATGTAATATGCATACACATTGGAATTTTACCTATTTATTAGAAAGCATGTTATTGTACCATTTGTAAAGAAATGGAAAGACTTAGAAAAAATTATGTTAGGTGAAATAAGCCAAAAGTAAGGATGCATGACTAACATTTCTATTCACCTCAGTTCTATTCTATTTTTATATCCAATGATTTCAGGTTAATTTCTGAATCAATTAAATGAGAATTTCTTGGTTTCGAGAGATCTCAATTGCCTCAAGATCCATAATTGCACACTGCTGGGATGAGAGGAGTATTCCTTCTTCCCATCTTCCCTGTCCTCCCTTGGTTCAAATTCTACTAGTTCCTAGCTATGTGACTCTGGGTAAGTAAAGATAATTCAAAGGGAATTCAAATATATGCAATGTTTAAAATATATACAGTCCTGATGAATTGCAGTTTTTCAGTAAACATTAGCAATACTGATCATTGTAATTATTTACTTGTCTCCTAATATTGTTATGAATCTCCAAATTGTAATCCATGGATGATTAGAAAGCTCTTTAAGTATCTGGGAATAATCAACATAACGGGTTCCAAAATTCATAATAAAAATTGAATAATTACCTCAGATAAAAGCTAATTCAAATTTGTTTCCTTTTAGCTAAAATTATGTTAACGTGATTATGTTGGATATTACATGCCATCAAAGATCTCTGAATAGTTATGTGCATTTTGTGTTTAATAAAGTACAAAATAAACAATTTGTAGATTTGGCATAATGGCCAAATTACTTGTAGCCTGGAATTAACAGAGATAAGTAATCAAAGTAGTTTTTAGTGGTAAAGCTGAGAAGCTCTCTCCTTCTAATAACTGAAGTACAATAGTGTATTCAAAGATCCAAAGAAATAATCCTCCAACCAACTATATGTCACATTGATTCCCAAAAGATGAGCTTATAACTTCCTGGGGTATATTGAAATATCTCACTACACATCTTTACAAAACAAAGTTTTAGTTCATTTTAATTTTATATCAATATCTTTCAGCATTTTAGGATATAAAGATTCCAGAAACTGAGAAAGGTAGGTTTAAAACTGTTAATTTTCTGAAGTATTGGGGCTGGTGTACTAAAAGAATCATTATTGCCAATTTGATTTTTGTTAATTACATTGATACCTATTATCCTTCCATTCTGGTTATATTGAAGAGAGATCATTATAGTAAAATATTTGTTTATGGTGGAAATATTATCCTAGATATCAAGCAGTCAGATGGTGGAAAATTTTATGCAGAAGTATGATTCAAGGTAGAATTGGGATCATCCTGTTTAATATTTTCTTTGTAGAGGGAAATCTGAAACCCTTAGAGAGGGAAAGATTTGTGCAATATAAAATAACTAGTAAGTGATCATGTCTCCTAACTCTGAACTTGAACACTTTAGTTAACTTACACTATAGTTAAGGAATATTGGGGCTGGGAAGGTGGCTCAGTGGTAGAGCGCTTGCCTTGCATTCATGAGGCCCTGGGTTCGATTCCTCAGCACCACATTAGCAAAAAGAAAAAAGCCAGAAGTAGCGCTGTGGCTCAAGTGGTGGAGTGCTAACCTTGAGCTGAAGAGCTGAGGGACAGCGCCCAGGCCCAGAGTTCAGGCCCATGACAAGACTACCCCCCCCAAAAAAAGAATATTAAACCAAGCCGGGCACTGTAATCTTAGCTACTCGGGAGGCTAAGAGCTGAAGATCATGGTTCAAAGCCAGCCCGGGAAGGAAAGTCTGTGAGATTCTTATCTCCAATAAAACCACCAGAAAACCAGAAGAGGCACTGTGGCTCAAGTGGTAGAGTGCTCGCCTTGAGCTGAAGAGCTGAGGGACAGCACCCAAGCCCAGAGTTCAAGCCCCACGACCTACCAAAGCAAAAAGAATATTAGACTAACACGCTGCTCAACCATTAGGCCTCATCATCAATTACAGGGTGATGAGTAGCACAGCTTTGTTTTTGGCATCGCATTATATATTTTATCAATGGATTCTCTCTGACACTGCCAAGTGCATAATCCTCAAATAGAAAC